ATTGAAATCTACACGCTAATACACACTACTCATAGTCACCAATGCTGATGTTGTTAACATTAATCATTTGAGAATAATATATATATTATTATAACAATAATAATAATTTGAACGGTTTGATGTGATATGAGCTAACCGATCTTTAGATTAAATCACCATTGGTATCACGATTTATTGTAATGCTTTTTTCCTCAGTTGGTCAAAAAAAGGTGGCAGACTTATTACTGACTTGTTCAGATGACAATATCCGGTGAAAATGCTTATTTGGGTCATATATTCCAAGATGTAGTCTAGAATCTGTGATTGCGAAGTACAGTAAATATCTGCCACACATACTCTTCAGAACATTAGATTCATCCGCGCTGGAGCCGTGCCGACTCACAAGCTAGATAATTACGCACCCAGCTGCAATTCCAGGTTTTCAAACAGAGATGGCGACAAAGAGGCAAAACTTACGGACTGCAGCTTTAAGCTTCATTTCAAATAACAAAAAAATGCTTTTTAACAGTTTTAGTTTTGTTTTAGTTAAAAATAACACTGATGGAGAAAGATGGTCTTTGCAGCCAGATGATGTTTTACAGCCAAAAGAGGCTAATAGGTCCATGCTAACTTCTCCCTGGTTGTTACTACCAAAGTTCAATGTCCAAATAAGAGTCCTTCCAAAAGTTTGTGCACAAGATAAATATACACACAATATGCATGACCAAGAAATAACATAAATTCAATTTAATTTTTAAATTGTTTTATTAATTCTTTTTCCAATTGTTCCTCTCTCTCAGAGAAATATGACTACGTTGGCCGTTTGTTGAAGCCGGGAGATGAGCCGTCTGAGTACACAGATGAAGAGGACATGAAGGATCATCAAAAACATGAATGATCTGCTGATACATCACAGCAGCTGAAGGCCAGGACTGAGAAGGCCACCATCCAGAATAGTTAACCCCAGCAAGAAAACCCCCTCAGATCTGCCCTTTACCTTGGTTGTACCGTGTCCCCACTACTGCTCCACCACAGAGATAAACGCGTCTGTCTAAAAGCCCCCTGCTGTTCTGACTGTTCTTCTACCAAAACAGACCAATAGCCTGTCAGAGTTTCCTGTACTCTTCTTGTCTGTTCTTGATACCTTCTCCCTTAATCCAGCTCCTTGCCCCCTCAATCTTCCTGTCCTATGTACCATAAATACCATCAAACACTACTTTATACCATAAACCACCAGTCCTGCACCCTAAATCATCAGTCATACAGTCTAAACCCTAAACCCTACAGTCCACTGGAAAGTGAAACGCACCTGAGGCTTTTATAGCATCCTGCACATTTGCGTGTTCAGACTTGGACTGACAGTGTGAAGAGAAAAATAAAAAGGAGGAAGGACAAAACACTGAATACACACATTTTTACTCACTTAATTTTCTTTGGGGACTTCACCGTTCATGACCTCAAAGGTCACACACATAGAACGGGGCAGATGCCTGGAGTTCAGTACACAACAGGTTAAAAAACGCAACTGGGGTCTCTTTTCACCTCCCACCCCCCCACCCATTTAAGTGATTTTTTTTTTTCTTGTGCGTGTGATTATTGTACCACAACACAGATCTCATATACTTCTCAAGCATTTAAATCTCATGCTTATTCGTCGACTGAGAACGTTGTCATTTTAAATCAAAGTATGTCGAATGGATATGGTAACCAATCCAAAAGCCAGATTGTCTGCCATCAGCCAATCAGTCCAAAGGTTGGGAGGGTCTGGGGTGAGTGGGTGCTCTTAGCAATTTTTGTATTGTGTGCACCACTAGTGTGTAGCGATTTTTGTCACAATGTGATTGTAAATCATTCGGGATGGGAAATGTTTGTGGGGGAGAGGGTATACGTTAGCATTCTCGCCATAAAACTGTTGTTTTATTTGAACTGTGTAAATCTGAACAGCTGGTTGGGATGCAAAGGGAAGATCAGTTCGGTAGTTTAATTGGATCAGCTTGTCTGCTCATCGTCAACAGAACTCTCCTTTCCCCTGTTAATGAAACAGTCAGCATAGTTATTGTGCCTTATTTCAGTTTAATTCTACTTCAGAATAGTCAAGAGATGTAGAAAGATACAGGTATGAAAACTAGAGGGAGAAAACAAAGATAAAACATGTTCTGCTCTGCCCTTTCCACAATATATACTCTTAGGAGGTTTTTCAAAGCCAAGGCATCTTTCCCCTCCATTTCCTCACAGTTCGTATGACGAGGTGTGCTCGCGTCTGTGAGCGGATTCCACACAAGAGGCTCGACCACCATTATCGTGACCTTGTATATAGACTTTATGAGCTATTTCAGTGTTACTGCCATATCTGCGCTGTTATTAAACTCCATGCACTGCTGTGTTGTGCTGGCCAAAAGATCCATTGCTCTTTCTCTGTTTCCATCTCTTTTTCCCCTCTTTTTTTTTTTTTTCTTCTCTGCTGAATTTATTTTTAATTGTGGGTAATTTTCAAATCCACCCTTAAGTGTTATATTTTGTTCTTCTTCTGGAGAGGGGAACTATGAGTTTGGAAGAATATTTTGTCTTTGCTGAGGGCAGGGGGGATGAGGCAAAATTCCAAAATTGTGGATTCTGTAAATATGTGTATCATTTTATTAAAGCATGTGCAGCAAACAGTGAGGTAATGCTGGCTCTCACGTCATGTATTTAAATGGAGTTTGCAAGGATGTGTGTGTGTGCTGGGTGGGGGGGGAGGACGTGAACGTGTTGTTGCAGAAATAAATACATTTGGTTAATAACTACTGTTATCTTCTTCCCCTCTGTTGTGTCATCTTAAGTGCAAAAATAGGCATTGTCTCTCACAAAGGGTATTATTAAAAAAAAAAAAAAAAACTATAAAAGTTGAAGCGGGGACTGTAACTTCTGAAATGTAAGATGTGTCGAGAAACCACTAGGCTAATTTGTTTACGAAATTTGCCTCTATGGATCGTGTCATTCTACCACTGTTTTTATTGGGAGTTTTGGACTAGTTAAAAGTTTGTTCTTCCATACAGCATTTAGCTGTGTGAATGATGTGGTGAAGGAATAAGGGAGGAAATTTGTGGATGGTTGAGGTATGTCATGTTCCAGTTATAAATACTGAGAGTGCATATGCATAAATGTAGCATAGCGTAATAGCAATAGTTTGCCCAGATAATTTTTATTGACTTGCAGACTTATAATTTTAAGCATGATATAGCAGTGTGAAATGTCACACAATCTTATTAGAGCTGAAAACAATTTACTCGAGGTAATTTATCAATAATGTGCGCCTCACACCCCATTTACACAATCAGCAATGAAACTGATTTAGTTTAAAGTTTACAGTTTCACAGCTCAGACTATGTAATTTAGCCATCCCAGTTATGAACTTTGTATCTTAAAAAAATGAATATGCCTGTTGGTTTTAAATATTTATTTTTTTATAAAGGGCTAGGCTACATCAGACTTTTGATACCCATTGCTAATGCTATGTTAGTAGTGTTGTCTTCCCACTATAAATAATCACTTCCTGGAAGATGATTTCATTAAGGACTTTATTTATTTATTTATTTTGTTTATTAAACAAAAATTACAAAACACTTAACAGCATAGAGATTGAAATAGCTCGCCATTAACCGCCAGATGTCACTGAATCCCTAATGGTCCTCTGAGGTATGTACCGGTGATGGGATGTCCGAGTCATTTCCGCGAATCGGTTCTTGCCTACAGTTCGGTTCAAAATTCCAGCGATTCATTCCAGCGTGTCAAAGTACCTGCTCTAAAGCGTTCCAGTAAAGCCATATGTAGGCAGGCACTTATGTATCTTATGTGTATTTTGGTTTTCAGTCAAATGGGTCAGTCGGAGCCTCTTGGACCGATTCAGTCGTGAATGAATCGTTCAAACTGTGAACTGGTTTTTCAAATTAACCGAAAGGATTCGACTTAAAAGAACACTAGGTTCAGAAATCGGACATTGCTATGCAGAACATGGGCATAGTGTGATTCTTTCGAATTTCATTTCGCGAACGCTGCTTCTTTTGCATGAGATGAGTCGAATTTGCAGTAGAATTGTCTAGAACAGAACTGCATTTAAGACAGGCGGGTTTTTGTTGTTGTTGGGTAAGTTTGGTTTTCTTGAACTGTATAAACACTACAGTGCTTAAGCATAGAGTTGTGGAAGCAGGTTTTAGATTCTGCATGGCTATGTCGATATCGTGCAGCTTTATACAAAATATAAAAATCTGCGATCCACTCGTATTATTTTGACAACACTGTGGTCAATGCATTATCATCGTGTATATCTGTAGTGCATGTTCTCGTGGGGAGATTGCATGAATGATTTTGTGGTTGGTTACACAATACATTGTTTCACTGTGACCGGTGTTACGAGATTTTCGGTTTCCGAGATTTTCTGTTTCTGAAATCAATGTATAGGCTACAACTAGCTGAAGTTTGCTGTGCTTTATCCTAACATTACACAAAGAATGCCTGCAATCACTCAGTCAGGGACGACTGCACAAAACGTGCACTGTAAACAAATAAAACATTATTAACTGTTACGAAATGATAAACAAATGTAGTTTGTGCAACACTGTAAATATATTTACCTTTTAAAAAATATATATATTCCATTAAACGTGCTGAGATACAAGGAGCGTGAACTGGAATTCTCAGTTCCACTTGATTCCACGCGCATGTACGGGAAACTCATGAATATTCATGTATGCTCCGCCCACTGAAACCGAAAATCTCGGAAACCAAAAATCTCGTAACACCGGCCGACTGTGTGAAAGTGTGTGAACCACAGGTTCAGATGAACTCATTTGAGAGGGAATATGCATACAGATTGGTAATATAAATATTAAATGCATAAATGTTTAAAATTTTATTTTTTGGGTTAGTCTCTAGACAATAATTTGATGATGCCTTCAGTTCTGGTGTATTCTCAGTCCATATTTTTTAAAGCGTTAACGGAACATAAGATGTTTTATAGCATTTTCTGTACTTGTCTTTTATGATTTTGTTTTTCTTAGAAAAGGTACTGCACATGGTAAGTGGTTAAAGTGTAAAATCAAGGATTTTCGGATCTTCTAACAATAACTTCTACTGACTATTTTGATCTTTCACATTCACTTGTCAAGAGGGTCTGACAGTTGAGTTCCATTATATTGTAAGTTGGGGCTGATGGTGAGCTTGACTTTAACAGGAGGGACGTTTCTCACCATGGCTGAGCATTTATCCCAGCGTGAACTGGACTATCCTTTTAAGCTCTTGGAATATTTCAATGGATTTAGGATCTCCGAGGTTTGTGTTTTATTCTATATCTCTGTTAGACTCATACTGAATTCCTTATAGTCTCTATAATTGAGTTGTTATCAAAATGAGTGCATGAATATCAGTCAGTCAATTGATATAAATCAGTACTTCTGTGCTACTTCCTATGTGATGTGGAATCACCTCAGGTATGTTTAGCAGACCATTTTAACAATGTGTTTACCACACATGACATTTATTGTTGGATTATAAGTAAATGTTTTATGTGAGAGCATCTATTATTTGTGGCATGTCCCCGTTTGTGTCGTATTTACCTCTGTGGCCACCAGGGCTGATTTGACCTCCAGCAGGACAGGCCGATAACTTATTAAACGCCACTGAGTCAAACACTGAGATGACTCAAGACTTTGTTATCCCACAAGACCCAGAAAGGATGCTGCATGAACTGTAGAATTCACTAGAATTCTTTTACAAAAACATCTAAATATTTGTCTTGTTTTCCAGATTTCTTTTAAAGAAATAAAAATACTTCTATTCAGCAAGGATGTATAAAATTTTTCAAACGTGACAGTAAAGAAATGTATAATTTTACAAAAGATTTCTATTTAAAATAAATACTGTTCTTTTGAACTTTCTATTTGTCAAAGAATCCTAAAAAATGTATCACTGTTTCAACAAAAATATTAAGCAGTATTTTAAAAATTGATAATGGGAAATGTTTATGGAGCACCGAATCAGCATATTAGAATGATTTCTAAAGAATCGTGTGAGACTGAAGACTGGAGTAATGGCTGCTGAAAATTCGGCTCACAGAAATAAATTACATTTAATAATATCTAAAAACAGGAAACTTTTTTTTGAACTGTAATAATATATCACAATGTTACTTCAACTTTGGGTTTTTCCTGGGGAAATATAGTGGCTGCAGTATTAGTCCAAAAAATCACACCGCAAAAGTCTTATTTAGTCATAGTATATCAGTAATCAAAATGTTGCCTTGTTGTCTAATTAAAATATCCTAACAAGAGAGAGAACTGCATTATTTTTGTGAAAATGACTTCAGGTTGAAATGCAAACATATACGTTCAATTAGAAAATGCATTAAATGTTTTTGCAGCTTAAGATGCATTTGATTCTTTAAAAGACATGACAAACACATAAATAACATAAGATGTTCTCACTGACATTTTTATTTAAATATCCTGAATCCCTGCTCTCCTCCAGGCAATATTTTCAGCTTGCGAATTAGGGGTGTTTGACCTTCTCCTCCAATCCCAAAAGCCCTTGAGTGCAGTTGAAGTGGCACAGAAGCTTGGCACCAGTGAAGATGGTATAGAGCGTTTACTGGATGTTCTGGTTGCCATTGAGATTGTGGATGTGGAAGTGGTACAGGGTACAGGTGAGCTGCTAAACTATTTTATATTCCTATAAATATATATATTATATTCCACAAATATCTGGAAGTGACCTTGATTGCTCTGTAATGTAAAGGCGATAAATGTCAAAATCTGTTCATAAAATCATCTATCTATTGTGTCTAGGTTATTATTAAAATATTCACCAAGTCTCCAAACTTTTGCTCTTGTTTTCTATCGTAGCTTTTTACAGCAGTACAGATGTTGCTAATCTATACCTGGCCAAGACTAGCCCAAAATCTCTACATGATCTGATCATTTATAACTCTCAGACCATCTATCCACTCTGGAACAATCTGGTAGACGCTGTTAGGTAGGCATCACTGTTTTCATCATCCGTTAACGTCTGAGAAACACTTTAAAATCCTTCTTCTGTGATAAATGTTTCATTGTAGTGATTTTCAGACACATCAGGATTTGTGATCAATGAAAAAGAAAAGCCTGACCTTCTTAAAACTAAACAGTTTAGAAATAATATGTATTTATTGGGTAAAAAAAAACAGTATAATCAATATATCTGAAAACCTTTCAGGGAAGGAAAGAACCAGAATGAGAAAACTTTTGGCCTCCCATCTGAAGAGATCTTCTCTGCCATATACAGGTTTGTGTGATCAGTTATAATAGCAGTACTGTTTGGGTGAATGTTTTTGTTGTCCCTAGACGTCACTAGATTAAAAGTCCTTTCTTTGACTCCAGTGTTGCAGTCTTAAGCGCTTAGCTTTTGGTGCTGTGTAATTCTAGGTCATGGATTTTAAACCAATTCAAATTTGAGGCTTCATGACCGGCACTTCCCACGTCTGGAGGGGTGGTGTGTGTGTGCTAGTGTGTATGTGATTGTGAAAGAATGACTTGTGTTATTGTATGTGTGTTTTGGAATCTTTAAGCTCATAATTGTAGAAAAATGTTTTTATAAAATGTGCAAGAAGTAGTAGATTTGCAAGTTATGTTATTTTGAGATGCGTTGCAGGCTGCTCTGGTGCATTAGCGCGAGAGTTGGCTAAAGAGTATCCTTCCTCCACTGTCACGGTGCTGGATCTCCCAGCTGTGGTCCAGACTGCTCAGCAGCATTTCGCCCAGCAAGACGACACCATCTGTTTTCAAGAGGGTGCGTAATGACGCAGCGTAACATTGTTAATGGTTTGCATTTGACCGATTCTCTTTCCTTCTGAACTTGTCGAAAACAACAAGCAGTCTAATGGCTGCCCTGACCACAGAATATTTACATTTTTTTGTGTTATTATAGTTAATGAAAACTGAAAGAGAAACTTTTTTCTTAACTAAAATATAAATAAAAACTAAAATAACTGGGAAAAAGTCAAACTAAAATACTCAAAAATGGCCTCAAATTAATGTTTTAGTTTCTTATAAATAATATATCATAAAACCATCTGTATTAAGCATGAACACATTAAACACTTGATGGCAATAACACTGCTGATAAATTCAGTGCTGTTAGGCATTTTTTAATTATACCAGTTACAGTAGCACATTAACTAAGAAAATTAAATAAACAGAAACTGGAAAACACTGGAAAAAATAAATAAATAAACTACCGTTCAAAAGTTTTGTTTGTTTGTTTTTTCAAAAGAGAATTTTATTCAGCAAGGATGCATTATTAGACTTATACATTGCAATAGATTTTTATTTATAACATTTATACTTATTTACAACTTATTTATATTTATCTGAACTCACACAGGCTCATGTCATGTGACACTAAAGACTGGAGTAATGGCTGCTGAAAATTCAGCTTTGCCATCACAGGAATAAATTACATTTTTAAATATATTAAAATGGACATTTTATTTGAAATTGTAATATTTCACAATATCACTGTTTTACTTTTTGATCAAATAAATGCAACCTTGGTGAGCATAGGCGTCTTCTTTCAATAACATTAGAAAATCTTACCAACCCCAAACTTTTCAACGGCAGTATAAAACTAACAATGATGTGCATGATGATATGAAAGCTAAATTAAATAGGATAAAAACAAAATTGAAAATTCATAATGGCATTTCTGATCTTTAAAGCAATTAGGTATATGTCGTTTTGTATTTGTAGGGGACTTTTTTGAAGGAGAAATCCCTCCTGCAGATTTATACATTCTGGCCCGGATCATTCATGACTGGAAGGAGGAAAAAAATCTCAAACTACTGAAAAATATTCATACAGCATGTCATCCAGGTGAGAAAAGATGTCATCACCTGGTCAATAATATTAATAAGTGGCCCTAAAATGATAGTTTTCAAAGCATCTGACTTGCCCTTTTATCTTTGTCATCTCTATCTAGGTGGAGGCGTTCTGATCGCAGAGGCACTGTTGTTTGAGAACAGCCGTGGTCCAACTATGGTTCAGATGTTTTCTCTGAACATGCTGGTGCAGACAGAAGGGAAAGAGCATCCACCCTCTCATTATACACATCTGCTCACCGAAGCAGGATTCAGAGATGTGCAGGTCTGTCGGACCGGAAAATCATACGATGCTATTTTGGCACTCAAATGAATATGCACAAGTGTATTAATGTAAGCATTGTCAGTAATCAGAACCCTTCTGCCTTATCTGCAGAGTGCAGACACATCAGTAATCATATTTATGCACATGTCAGACATCTGTTGTTCCACCTTGGCCTCGTTTTGTAAAGTAATAAAGCAGTTTTTTTTCTCCAACACAGAGTGCACACTCGTTTTATGCGTATTTGTCGCCACCTATTGTTGTGGGTGTATTATTGACATGTCAAAGTCTAGACCCTGAATATAAGACGACTGCGTTTTTTCAGATGTATTTCCAAGAAAAAACATCGTCTTATATTCGGGACAATACGGTATTTTGTTGTGAAGCGATCTCAATGTGATTTCCATCTTTTGTATTTGTAACTTTCATCAAAAGTGCAAGATGTTCATGATGCATCGCACCTGCTTACAAACAAGTAAACAACTTGATGGATTCGTAATTTCGTAACTGACATTATTTAGACTAGATTGATATTTAAAATGCATTACATATTTGAACCTACTTCTGATTAGTAGTTGTGATGACATAATATTAAATCTTTATTTACAGAGGTTTCCTAGTGATTCATATTAAACAATGAGTAGGTTTTAACCGGAGCTTTACAAAACAAATCCCTGTCATCGTCTCCAAAACAGATGTGGATATCATGGAAGTCATAATGATAATCCTCTGTTCGTGCGTGAGCGCGCACGCGCACTAGCTCCCCCTGCAGGTGGACGAGGAACAGCAGCGGCGCGCATACGTTGTGTGTGTGTGTGTGTGTGTGTGTGTGTGTGTGTGTGTGTGT